TATCATTTATTGTTGGTTACAAGATAGTGCAGATAATAGTGGCGTGCAGACCAGGGGCGGACTGACAACTCATGGGGCCCCCGGGCAATAGGGGATCATGGGGCCCCTGTGTCCTTGCCCAAACTCAAAAAAGCCTATGAAAAAGGTACCAGGGGCATCTCATGGGGACCCCTACTGACCCCAGGCCCTCGGGCAGTGCCTGAGTTTCCAAATGGTCAGGCCGCCCCTGGTGCAGACCTTTATTACTAATTACTTGTGTTAGAACCTCTTCTAATTTTCCCATAATCTAACTTCCCAAGCTTGCCATTGAAATATGCCTACACATACCATTGCCTATACACACTCAAAGTTTTATTATTGAATGTTTAGTACCTACCTTCTCTAGTTTTTTTTTGCAGCGTTGTATTACTTACTAGTTACAGGTGTGTTTGTCTTTGTCCCCTGCTGGTCCCCATCTGTCCCTTTGTACTGATTTTTCTTGATTATTACTTAGTGGAATATGAGTGTTTGGCATTAAGTTCTCACTTTCTCTTAAGGAACTGAACACCAATCTTCTTTTAGGATAAGGAATATGAGAAATGCTGTATCCTAACACCTAGCAGAATACGCTTTCTTCTTATATAATGATTATGAGGATCTATGAGCAAACCACAGAGGAGTCAAGCTGAAAACTGTTAGGATTTAGTCATGCACCTGAAAGGTTATTCAATCGTTAGACTTCTATACTGCTATTAAATGAACCACGTAGCAGTAGTCGCTTAGAAATATGCAGCATCGCACGCTACTTTTGTCATGGTGAGACCACCTAAGGACCAGCAGATGGCTCCCAGATGGGAGCTCTTTGGTTCCTGCCCCTTCGTGGTGAACAATATTTGAAATGGACTCTATTCTCTGAATATCAAATCAATAAGTGGTTTTTTAACCACTTGAGCTCCAGAGGATTTACCCCCCTTAATGACCAGGCCTCTTTTTGCTACTCGGCGCTGCACTAATTCAACTGATAATTGCGCGGGCTCATGCAATGCTGCACCCAAACGAAATTTACGTCCTTTTTTTTACACAAATAGAGCTTTCTTTTGGTGTAGATTTGATCACCTGTGCGCTTTTTATTTTCCACGCCATAAACAAAAAAAGGCCAAAAATGTTGAAGAAAAACAATATTTTTTTTTTTTTTTTACTTTCAGCTATAAAAAATATATAGTAAATTCAAAGTTGGTTATAAATTTAGGCCAAAATGTATTCTGCTACATGTTTTTGGTAAAAAAAATCCCAATAAGTGTATATTGATTGCTTTGTGTGGAAGTTATAGCGTCTACAAACTATGGTATAAATACTGCAATTTACGCCATTTTTCTGCTATACAGCACTGCGCTAGTTTAACGGACAATTGCGCGGTCATGCAATACGGTACATAAATGAAATTTACATCCTTGTTTTCCCCCACAAATTGAGCTTTCTTTTGGTGGTATTTGATCGCCTGTGCAGTTCTTATTTTTTGCGCTATAAAAAAAAAAGGCTGACAATTTTGAGGAAAAAAAACGATATTTTGGACTTTTTGCTATAAAACATGTCCAGTAAAAAAAAATGCAAAAAAAATTTAGTCATAAATTTCTGCCAAAATGCATTCTGCGACATGTCCCCCTAAAAAAAAAACCCCAATACGTCTAAATTAATTGGTTTACGTGAAAGTTATAGCGTTTACAAATGGCGGGAAAGATACTGGGATTTTTAGGTTTTTTATACTAATAATGGTGGCGATCAGCGAATTATGGCGGCAATCAGCAACATATGGCAGCGATCAGCGACTTATGGTGGGACTGCGGGACTGAGGCGGACATTTTGACACTGAGGGGGGAACTGACTTGGGGTCACTGACATCCCCAGTGACACCAATACAGTGATCAGTGGAAAAAAAAACCCCACTGACACTGTACTAATGTCACTGGGGAGGAAGGGGGTTAACATATTTAGTGTTTACTGTGTGAGGGGAGTGTTTTACTAGGGGGCGGGGGTGTGTGTACTGGACAGGGGGGGGAGGGAGGGGGGAGCTGATCAAGGGAGAGAAACTCTTCTCTCCTTCTTCAGCTTGTCGAGGAACTGTCCAAGAGCAGGGCTGTGTGTAAACAATGCAGCCCGGCCCTGTGTCAGCGATCACCGCTCATCAAGGGAAAATGGCCGGTAATAACCGGCCGTGACCCGGCGGCGGAGACCCGCTGCTGACACACGCGGGACAGGCAGGGCCGGCGCGCGCTTCACGTGCGCCCCCTACCTGTTTTGCAGAACCACGTTTTAAAACATGGTTTTGCCTACGAGTGCTGCCCTGCAACCGTTTATATGCAGTGGCTGGGCGGCAAGTGGTTAACCTCTTTAATGACTGACCCAGTCTATAATTGGCCTTCACAGCAAGGAGCACATGGAAGGGAAACGCATGTCAAACAACAAAAAAAAAAAGAAGATTCCCAGCCATGATGAGGCTCTGTAGCCAGTGGCGTATTTAGGATTCGTGCTGCCCTAGGCAACACAAAAAATGGCTCCCCCAATTGACCAACAACACACCCAGCACCCCCCACCCCTACCCAAGAGAGCCTTTCACTACCACCACCCCCAATACACTGGCAACCCCCACTCCACCCAGACAAGAGATAATGCCTGTTAATGCCTGAACACAATTTTGCAACTTTGACACGTGTTAGTAAAACCATACATATTGCAACATATCACAACTGTCCATCCAGGTTGATTAAACCTTTTTTTTCAGGACAACTTGGACTTTCTTTTGGTGGTAAATGGTAATGGATATCTCCTAGTTTTTTTTTATTATTATCAAAGGAAAACTGGGCCAAAATAGTAAAAAAAAAAATATTTTTTAAAATTTAGCTGTATATTTTTTGCTACTACCATAACCTTTACAAAAACAAGGCCCCTGTCCAAGTCTATAACTGGCCTTCACAGCAAGGAGCACATGGAAGGGTGACATCAAACAACAACAAAAAAAAGAAAAATTCCCAGCTCAGCTTGCCAACCACCTTGCAAACAAACCAAATTATTCTGTCTAACAGTATGCATTAAAAACAGGGGTTTAGTTAGCACACATTTGCAAATACATGCATAAGCTACAGACAGAGGTGTAATTACCACAAGGCAAACAAGCATTTGCCTAGGGCGGCATTTTTCAGGGGGGCAGCAGCATTTTGCAGGGGGGTAGTGCTGTCCCCCAAAAGAAGGAAAGGAAGAAGGGACACACGCAGCACGGGGACCAGGTGGGATCTGAGAGAGGCTCCGGGCTGCTTGATAGTGTATGCAGAGCCTGACTCTTGTTCCCGGGGATGTCCGGAGCTGTGAAGGTGAGTGTCTTATCTCTTGTCGGGGTGGAGGGGGGGTTGCCAGTGTATGGGGGGTGGTGATAGTGAAAGGCTCTCTCGGGTATGGGTGGGGGGATGCTGGGGTGTTGTTGGTCAATGGGGGGGAGACAATTTTTGTGTTTTGCCTAGGGCAGCACAAATCCTAAATACACCACGGGCTACAGAACCTCATCACGGCTGGGAATCTTTCTTTTTTGTTGTTTGACATGCATCTCCCTTCCATGTTCTCCTTGCTGTGAAGGCCAGTTATAGACTGGGTCAGTGGCCATTTTTTGTACTGCTGAATTGTTGGTGAGGCTGGACATGGGACCCGGAGCTCCCACTGAGATCCCAGACTCTGTGCTGAGAGAGTGCTGTGCAGTGAGTTCCCAGCACAGAGACAGATATGTATATATGTGGCCCTATGAAAAAAAAAGTCCAGATCACTGAGGCTGCATATATGCATACAATCGGCAGAAAGGGGTTAAAGGAACACTGTTTGCAAAAAAATTCATAAATGCAAATATATTTATAAAAAAAAGCATTTATTATTTTTTGCAAATTAATCTGCAAACATTGCAACCATGATCAGAAGATGGCTGGTGCAATGCCAGGCTTCTGCAGACTCTTCCTCCACCTCAATGTCCATACGTAGTATGGAATATTATTTTGGATGGAGAAAGTGTAATGGACTACCAGTGTGGTGATCACTGTAGCTGACTGTAGAACAATCAAGTAGACACAACATTACAATGTTTCTCACCTGACAAATGGCAGCTAGAATATTCATGTTCTCAAGAGGGCACAGTGGACACATTCAAATCTAACACTTCTACAAAGTAGGTAATAAATACTCTTTACAGTTTTGATTGTTTTCCTTATTTGGCTAGAAACTTTAGCTGAAAACAATGCCTATGTTACGTACTGTATATGTCAATGTGTAATTCATTGTGAATGGCACCCCAAAGCACCTTCGAAATGCACGCGCTGCAGATTCTCATGCATTGGAGTCCTTTTGAATGAGCTGTTTAAAGATAACAATGTTGCATGCATTACAGTACAATGCCATGAATGGTTCCTTAAATTATATGTAAACCCTCACCTTGTAAAACAACCTATTCAGTTGAAATTAGAAAGGCAAAACATTTGTGTATAGATAGGGGTCTTATGATGCTTTATTAAAAGTTGATCCTGGTTAGGGTGCGGGGATCTGTAGGATACTACAGTAACACAATACAACAATCAGAGGACACTCTTCACTTTGTCTAGCTTCTTGGCATGTAGTTCCTTTATCAGCCACTAAGGGAATGAACAGTAATGAGATTCCAAAAAAAGTAATGTCCCAAACCCAAGCAAGCACTGGCACTGATGCACAAAGGATAGTTGCAGCAAACAGTCACTAGGATTCTACACTCAGGTCTTTACTCACAATGTCCCTGGATACTTGGATGCCTTCTTCCAATATAAGACAAACATTTCTCCCATGAACTCCCAGACCAGATCCTCAGTAAAATCTCTTGGTCAGTTCCAGCTTTTCTTCGAATATAGGCCGTCCAGATCTAGCTGAGCTGGGACCTCGATGAGCTCCTGTGAACTTCAGATGTATTGCTCAGAAGGGCAGCAGCCCTTCAGGTGGGAACTTCTCCTCCTGGAAAAGAACAGGTTTGCCTCAGGCCCCTGACTACTTATGCACTCCCCAGCCACCTACTGGGCATACCCCTAGGGATTGTCATAGACCACATAAATATTCAGCCTGTGGATTTTCCTCTTATAGCCTACTACATCTTAGAATTCACTAGATGGCAGGTGGAAGCAGTGGAGTCTGCAGCCAGTGAAGCCTAGAATAGCCCAAGATAATCATACATTGCTCCAGTGATTGACCACAGAAATATTCAGTCTCTGGTCATTCCCTGTACTATGTCCGCAGTCTCTGGTCATCCCCTGTACTATGTCCGCAGTCTCTGGTCATCTCCTGTACTATGTCCGCAGTCTCTGGTCATCTCCCTGTACTATGTCCGCAGTCTCTGGTCATTCCTGTACTGTGTCCGCAGTCTCTGGTCATTCCCTGTACTGTGTCCGCAGTCTCTGGTCATCCCCTGTACTGGGTCAGTCTCTGGTCATCTCCTGTACTGTGTCTGCAGTCTCTGGTCATCCCCTGTACTATGTGTCCGCAGTCTCTGGTCATCTCCTGTACTGTGTCCGCAGTCTCTGGTCATCTCCTGTACTCTGTCCGCAGTCCATGGTCATCTCCTGACTATGTCCGCAGTTTGGTTCCTGTTGTTTCTCAGTCTCTAAAATTCCCTGTAGGTGTGTCTCTATGGTCAGCGAAAAATACTGTGTACTTCTAGGGAAAACCCTGTACTATAGTGAGAACTCAAAGCTCCCCTTACTAATGTGAAGAGTCTCTGGTCATTTCCATTGTAAAGAGTTGTTTATCCGCAACTTTGTCAGCTCCCTGTTGACCACAGAGATTTCATTCCATTGTAATGTCCCAATCCTGGTGATATGCATTTACTACTGTTGTCCATTGAAAGTTCAGTGAAAGTTACCTGACAGGTGGAATATTTTTTTCCTGTTTTTCCCATCTAAAACCTAGGTGTTCTTATGGAGCGAAAAATGGTACTTTAGGGAATACACTATAAGAACTCAAACTCTTCTAATTGAAGAGGCACTATGCTTTCCCTTTAAAGATTGTTTATCCAAAACTTTGTAGACTCCCTGTTGACACAGAGATTTACATTGTAAATTCCCAATCCTGTCATATGCATTTACACTGTTGTAAATTGAAAGCACGTGAAAGTTCAGACAGGTGGAATAATCCCATTACAGCATTGTTCATGGTAGCACCTTGCCCGGGTGTGCTTGTAAATAATATAGAAGTACAGACTGTTCAAATCCTTGTTTACAGGGAAAGATTTCTGCATACTAGTGACTTGGAACGAGTGGTTAACTTAAGTTTCTTTTCACTAAATCTCAAACCAATTGCAGATTCTCCTTACACTCACATCAGCACTTTTCGTTAGGTACACCAACCCGGTGTGGTCTTCTGCTGTTCACTGAATATTTTCTCTCTTTTTCAGACCATTCTCTGTAAACCTTAGAGATGGTTGTGTGTGAAAATCCCAGTAGATCAGCAGTTTTTGAAATACTCAGACTAGCCCGTCTGGCACCAACAACCATGCCACGTTCAGTCACTTAAATCCCCTTTCTTCCCATTCTGTTGCTCAGTTTGAACTTCAGAAAGTCATCTTCACCACGTCTAGATGCCTAAATGCATTGAGTTGCTGCCATGTGATTGGCTGATTAACAATTTGTGTTACTAAGCAGTTCAACAGGTGTACCTAACAAAGTGGCCAATGAGTGTATACAGTGCCTTGAAGAAGTATTCATACCCCTGACCCAAAAAAAATTTTTTTTTTTAAACCTAGCTGTATATTTCTTGCTAAACCATAATTTACCACCAAAGATCCCAAGCCAAAATACATTGTCCTACTCCTGATGATCACAGTGATACCACATATATGTATATTATTTGTTGTGTGTACCCGAAGTCAGGTCCTGAAACAGTAGTGCTCATTTTCCTTTTTCATCCTACCTAAAACACACTACTACTGACACTAAGGGGTTTATTTACTAAAGCTGGAGAGTCCAAAATCAGACTTCCTTCTGCATAGAAACCAATCAGCTTCTAACCTCAGCTTGTTCAATGAAGCTTTGGCAATGAAACCTGGAAGCTGATTGGTTTCTATGCAGAAGGGAGTCTTATTTTGGACTCTCCAGCTTTAGTAAATAAACCCCTAAATGACACTGATACTAATTAAAAAAATGTTGTTTTAGAAAATCCTACACAAAATATGTTGACCCCAAATGTTGACCCTGACCTTGACCCTAACACGAACCCTGGCAGTGACCTAGATCAAACCTTGATCTAGCTATTTATATATATATATACACACACACACACACACACACACACACAGTATCAGGGCTTTTTTGGGCGGGAACGCGGAGGAACGCAGTTCTGCCACCTCCAGCACTGAATGTATGCAATGGCAAGGGGTGCTGGGGTGTGCTGGAAGATCTAATGTTTATGGCTGCAGGGGGAATCTATTGTCACTGAAGGGTCACTTGTGTGGTGGTCTATTGCTGCTGCTAGGGGATCTATTGTAGATGGGGTTCAATTGTTGCTGTAATGGATCTACTGTTGAGGGAGGAGTTTATTGTCAATTGTTGCTGGCTGCTGGAGAGACTTTTGATGCTGACTGCTGGTAGATCTGTTGTATTTGCTGAGGGTCTATTGTTGGTTGTGGGGTGGTATTTCGTTTTGGAGGTTCATTGTTGCTGGAGGAATCTATGGTTACTGGGGGGGGGGTGGTATATTGTTGCTGGCTGCCAGTGATCTATTTTTCTGCTTTTCTTATTATCATTAACAAATTCCATACACATCATTCAGTACCACAAAATGATACTTGGCTCTGTATTCTCCAAAAGGAGAGGTACCGGGAGGTGAGTGGTGGTGGTGGTGGTGGGGGGGTTGGTGGGGTAGAGACAAGTAGTGACTCAGAATGGAGAGTTCCTGCACCTTTTTTTGTGAGGAATATAACCCTGTACAGTATACACAAATGTTTTGCTTTTAATTTCCATTTTAAACCGAATGGGTTGTTTTACAAGGTGAGGGTTTACATATACTTTAAAGTGGTAGTAAACCACACAAAAAGAAAAAAAAAAACAAGTCCCCTGCAAGGTAATGCCATAATGTGCTAGTAAGCATTGCAGCACTTTTTGCTCGGCCTACCTATTCCAGGCCTCTCCAAATTCCCCAGAAAACTATCCCCCCCATGTTTTAACAGCGGCCAGGAGAACCATTCCCATGCATTGGCTTTCTATTATGCCTCCTACATGATCGGAATTGGTGAAGGTTATAGTAGAGATTAGAAGAATGGAGTACTTCAGTGCCTTGCATGCTGACTCTGTCCCCCCCATTTTTGAGGCAGTTTGGGAACTGTGGGATCTTTCCTTTTCCGATTTGCCTACTCAGTTGTCTGAAAATGATGGCTAATCCCAAATATCACCCAAACCGTACTCTCCACTCCTCGCATGACTTCCTGCTCTCTAGCTCCCTTGTCTCCTCCTCCCATGCTCATCTCCAGGACTTCTCCAGAGCCTCCCCCATCCTCTGGAACTCTCTACCCCAATTTATGAGACTATCGTCTACTCTGCTCACTTTTAGGCGATCTCTGAAAACCTATCTCTTCAGGGAAGCCTATCCTGCCCTCAGCTAATAATGGAATCTTCTACTCCTCCTACCGGTCCATCCCCCACAGTTACTACCTTTTGTACCACTAACCCCTCCCTCTTAGATTGTAAGCTCCCAGGATCAGGCTCTCCTATCCCTCTTGTATTGAACTGTATTGTTGCTGTATTGTCTCCCGTTATATTGTAAAGCGCTGAGCAAACTGTTGGCACAATATAAATCCTGTATTATAATAATAATAATAATAATAATAATTCACTGTTATGCACTGACATTGTATGTACCTATATGCCTCTCATCGATGAGCATGTTTCTTTGTTCTTTCATGACCTTATGATTGTTATTTTGCAATTCTATGCAACTCTGTTGTACACTCTTTAAAAATGAATAAAAAGTAAATTATAAAAAAAAAATAAAAAAAGCAAAATACTAAGCTCTCCAGTGGCACGCTGTCACCGCTGCAGAGGCTTCCATCTTCACCAGGTCTTCCTTCTGAGCACACAAGCTCTTTCCATCTGAAAGGCCGGGACACAATGACGTCACTTCTACCCATGGGAGTCCCGAGCCATGGCACACAGCTCTGAAGGTACAGCCACAGGCATGCCGTTCCTTCAGAGTGCAGGCTTTAAAGAAGAGAGAATATCTCCTAAACGGCGCACATTTAATAGACCTTCATTTGACCTACAGGTAAGATTTAAAAGCTTACCTGTAGGTAAAATTTAAAAAAAAAAAGTAGAAAAGTTTGCTATCACTTTAAATTCCTGCACCAGTGTGTTGAAGACATCTAGATTTGTTTCCATATTGTGTCCTATCTCCATTTAGTAGAAGCTGGCCTCACCAATCAGATATCGGCCATTACAATCAGCCTGGCTCTGCCATGAATCTTTCCACTCTTCTTACACAAATACCTCGGGCAGGTCGTAGCCACGGAATGTGATGTCCCGGGTCACGGTATGAGGGACACTCATGGGCACTATGTCTGCATATCTCTGGATTTCATAAATCACTGCTTCAGTGTAGGGCATATTGCTGCGATCATCCATGCACGGACTTCTGTCTCGACCAATCACACGGTCTATTTCCTCTTGAACTTTCTCTGGTGAGAAAATTGATTACTGAAATTATAAATCATTATTTCCAAATGTATCCCATGTGAGTGTTGGCATTAGAGTCAGAGCACCTCTATAATATCCCCCACATAGGACAGGCCAGACACGTGGCTGAATGAGGGGATTGCACATTTCCTGTACACTGTTTGGTGTAAACTGGGAATATACTGGATAAAGCCAAAGGGCCGGTTCACACTACAGATGCGTTCCGGTGTAATTTTTAATGCATTTTTGATGTGTTTCCAGTGCGTTTTTTATGATTTCCCCTCTTTTTTTTTTTCATCAATTTAAATAGGGACATGTGCGTTCCACTATGTTTTTGGTGCGTTTTGTTGTGTTCCAGTGCGTTTTTGATGCATTTTACCACGTTCCAATACAGTTCTCTGCAGGAAAAATGCAGCCTGTTCTACTTTTTTTTCTGCATCTGGAATGCACTGGAACTGCAAGCACTGATGTGAACTATGACATTGACAACCATATTACCTACTTTCTGTGCATTTTGGATGCAGAAAAAAAACACTGAAACGCATGGAGTGTGAACTGGTCCTTAGGCTAGGTTCACACCTATGCAGGTTACGTTTGAGCACTTTCTGCATTGCGTATTGCAATGCATTTTGTGTTTTTGACGCATTTTTGATGCTTTTTTTAATTTTTATTATTTTTCTTGTTGGCTAGGCAGATGTAAAATGCAAATTGCATCAAAAACACACTACTACATGCTTTTTCTGCAGCATTTCCATTGAAGTCTACAGAACCAAAAATGCAACTTTTGGGTCCCTGACCCTTTCCAAAAAACTGACCAGGTGAAAACGCAGAGATGTGAATATGCCCCATAGGAAATCATGTTAAATGGATTGTACTGCATTTCTGCAAAATGCAAAATGCTGCGGAAAATGCTTAGGTGTGAACCTAATGTAAATATGTGACCGGAAGCCTTGGATGGCCTTCAATCACATAATGG